CAATTTGGAACTAAACAAAGCATTCCTAGAAATCCCTTGGTTATTGGTAAGAGGGCTAGCAGACAAGGTAGACATCGAGATTGGCGAACTGTGAATGCAGACAAATTCCAACACTGGAAAACTCGTCATGACCGCATGATGCCTGAAATTGAAGAAGATACTAACAATGGGTTGCCCTCAAAAGAGTACAGGGCTTGGTACAACCTAGTGTCCCATCTTCTAGTACATAATGTCGCTAACCTACCCAAAGACATATTGCGATCTCATAACCAAGAAGAAGAAGATGTAGTTCCTGCTCATGAACCACAATATATAATGAGACCTCGAAGTTATGAGGACCAGTTTGTAAGTTTATATTGACCTACAAATTTTTATATTGTTGTACTTACTTATTAGTTCCATAAAATTATTTAAATTTATTAATTAGGTAATCTTGTTTGTGCAGTTCAGGCATCTACATTCATGTTAGCAGAAGCACTTACTATTGGACAGAAGTGGAATCCTGAAGTGTATAATCGCATTAACAACGCGTTTGAAACATTGTCTAAGTTTGTGCCTGAGGATATGGATGACATAGAAGCCCTGATGGCAAATTTATAACGTGAATATTATGACGAAGGTGTACCTGACGAGGCCGAACATGATGGAGTGGGTGAAAGTAGTTGGGCTGTAAAAGACCTAGCTCCATCCACACAACCAGCAGTTGAGGAATGCAAAAGATATAACACATGAAAGAAACAGTATCAGCCTAAGAGAAGACGACCAGTGTAATGGGGTCTTGACCCTTGTAATTTTGTTCATTTTGAGCGATGTAATGTATTGGTCATTTTTGACCCGCCCAATTTTTTTAATGAATTTTGTTGAGTACAATTTGATTAAGTCTTTCTACTTTCTTACTTGCGAAGTTCAAATGATATTATATGAGGTGCCTATGTTGTAATAATGTTTAAAGATAGAAACAGTAACAATGTTTAACGTGCCAAAGTTGTAAAATATGAATTAGTGGCTATTGGTTGAGTCACTAATTTACGTATTGGTTCAAAATTAATGTCCATCCTAGTGATGGTCCTACCTAGTTCTCACTAAAATTTGCTACTAACTTAATCTCTCTGTTACTTGCTTAAGTCTAGAGTCGATGATTTAAAAAGGTATGTTTAAGTGACCAGTGAGACCAAACTGAGACCAATTGATACTTCACATGTATTAGTGACTAGTGACATTGAGACCAAAACTTCATAATGAGCATTGAGACCAACTGATCCTTCACATGTCAGTGACATTTGTGAAGTTTTCAGATGTTGGACATCCGAAACTAATTTCGGATGTCCAACATCCAAAATTATAACATTTTCGGATGTACAACATCCGAAAATGTCAAGTTTTTGGATGTTGGACATCCGAAATTATAAATGTTTTTGGATGTTGTACATCCGAATTCAGATGTTGAACATCCAAAATTATTTTCGGATGTACAACATCCGAAAACTTGATATTTAGTAGCATGTGATCACTTATAAGTCACTGCTTTATCAACTTATTAGTAGCATGTGAACTATCAATTATGCTATTAATATCAATCAATTATGCAATTAACTCAAATTGTGAAATTATGAAGATAATGCACAATTGCAATTCTAGTAGTCGTGTTGCTATGAATGCTCCGGATTCTCATCTATATGCAGCTTTTTTATTTTTGAATGAAGCCTTTACAAATTAACATGGCCTATTTGCAATCTAAAATAGCTTTCAATATGGGCTCCAAAGTCTCCATTTCACCATTTCGGTTCTCTGCATGTCCTCCTATTCTGCGCCACATCGTTTGCACTTCAAAGGCCTGTTGATCGAATGTTCTATCTCGGATATTCTTCTTTGCTTTTTTGACCTATCGGGAAGACGTATAGTCCTTGGTGGCAATGCTGTCCAGTTGTAAATATCTGTCAACTCAATATCATCCGGGAGAGGCACAAAGGGAGTTTCAAATGCCCTTTTAAAGTTTTCCACTGTGAAATACCTAAGTCAGTACACAGTGGGATCCAAATGCATATGGTTAATGGCTATAATGACATGGGCACATAGAATGCCATTGAGTTGTCATTTTTTACACTTACATGTCCAATGTGTTAGATCGACAACGTACTTCTTCCCGAGATAGTGGATCTCAAACTGCGTGTCTATGGTGGATATAACTGTGTGAAAAAATTGAGCCTTCATCTTTCGCATGTCAAGTAATTCTTGGACTAGCATGCCACTCAAAGTATTACCTAACTCCCTCTTCTCTTCAAACCTGGTCATCAACTGTACCCTTATTTCTTCACACATTGTAATGATCGGTTTCTCTCGAGCAGATAAAATCCAAGCATTGAAAGACTCGATCATGCTTGAGGTAAGATGACTGTATCTAGACCCTGAAAAATAGGCAGCTGCCTAAAATTTAGGGGGAATATTCTTAATCTACTCATATGCTTCTGGTTCGGTACACTGTATATCAAACATTATTTTTTAAAACCCACCAATGGACGGGCAGCCTTCAAAATAACATAACAATACTTCAGTATTTGCTGACTTCTTCATAAAGCCCTTGAAGGTCTCTCCATATGTCGCATATAGAATGATTCAAAACATGTGGGAAAGCATTTTTCTATTGTTTCTGGCATGCTTTTATGTCGATCTGATATAATGGTTAAGGCAGGTATATTAGGATACCCATTCATTAGCTCACTCAATATACTTAAGAATCAATACCAATTCTGGTAGTTCATTTTCTCAACCACTGTAAATGTCAATGGGAAGAGCTCATTATTTGCATCTATGACACACAATAATATGCCTTGATACTTTCTTTTAGGAATGTCTCATCAATATCAATTAGTGTCCTGCATCCATTAACAAAACCCATAATGCATGGACAATAAGCAATAAATAGTCGTTTGAACCGATCTTCATCTATGTGGTTACGAACTTCAGTTATCGGGTTGGTTCTTCGGATGTTCTCAATATACAAGGGGAGGACATGATATTGTTATTTATGTGATCCATCTATCATATCTCCAGCAACCTCTTTTCCCCGCCAAGCTTGCATGTAGGAAAGCTTGACCCCGTGATCACGTTGAACATCATTTACACTGTCTTTTGCTTTAATTTTTAGTTGGTCAAGAAGGCGGCATTTAATCTTTTTTGCCACCCAATCACTACGAGCTAGTGGCTGATGGACCCTCCTCGTTTGACCACTACATGTGTGCTCCTTAATAATAGACTTCACTTTAAAGTATGCGGTACTGCCAACTCGTAAGCACCGCACTTGCCATGTGCATCCCTCTGCCTTGCAACTTGCCCACACCCGTCTTAATTCACTTTTGTCAAACTTTAGAACAAAATTGTTGTGGATTGTAAAATCAACTAGATGATGCTGACATTCATTAACATTTTCAAAAAATTGCCCAACATTTAATTGAACCTCGTTACCAACTCCTATACATGGACTCTCTAGTGGTTCAATATCCTCCATATCACGCTCTGGTACGAGCTCAGGGTTGGGCGCCACTTGAATGTTTCGATTTTGCTCAGGTAAAACGTTACGTCGACTGTTAACAAAAGATAGAGTGTAAGATGAAGCAACAATTTATACACATATAAGATTAAAATAAAGCAATCTATAGATGAAAAAATAAATTGTAGATATACCTATTCTTTGAAGATGGGTCCTTAGCAATAGATTCATGTTGTGGCTCCATTGTAGTGGCAATATAACAATTCTAAAAAATTTCCCTCCCAACATAAAAGATACATCTATATCATCACTTATATAAATCAAATCAAGCCCACTAGATAGACTTGTGTTGTGGTACATAATAGCCAATTTGCTTGGATCACACTTGGTTAAATTTTCAAAATGACTTTTTAGTCCTCCAAAGAACTATTCCCATTATACTTGGTCACCTTCAATTTTCCTTATTTATAAATAACACGTCCGTCATCTGCATTCATCTCAAATGACCCCCCATATCGGAATACCAGTTGCACTTCCTCGGTAGCTATCGCCAATACTACTGTATTAAATGAATAGCAAAATTTTTGTTACAAAAAATCAATACAAAGAAATTACCAAAAATTGGGATATTTCTAACTACTTTAGGGTTCATAAAATCTGAGTATTACATAATAGATTGAAATAGTGTACTACTAAAATTGTGACTAATAAATATTAAAAAAAAAACAACAAATACTCACATAAACATAAAATAAACAACAAATTTTAATACAAATAAACAAGTTTAACAATTATTTAGCCAAAACAAGAAATACAATGTATCAACATTATACAAACAACAAATAATTATATAAAATAAACCACTTCATCAATATAAAACAAATTTCATTTATTAATAAAAAATGCACAACAAATATTAATAACAAAAATATAATATCCTATAAAATAACTGATAATAAACATCAATTAATCAACAGTATAAAGCAATAGTAAGAACGGTACCAATCACGTCCAAATAGTGAGTCAATCTTTTCAACTTTATGGATTATTGTATTAGGGGACAGTAAAAGGGGTATAATGTGTTTTTCTCAACTTTATAAAATAAAATAAAATAACTTTCCGTCAGTAAGCGGAAAAACTTGACGCGAAAAATTCCGAATGTTCAACATCCGAAAATCCCAAAAATTCGAATGTTGTACATCCAAAAATGGGAAAATACATTGTTGGAGCTACGGTAATTTTCGGATGTTGAACATCCGAAAATATTAAAAATTTGGATGTTCAACATCCGAAAAGGGATAAACTTATCTTTTTTAAAAAAATAGTATTATAGAAGATAAAAAATAAACACTTCTGTAATAACATATACTATTTGATGTAATCGTAATAACGTAAAATATAACTGATTTCTACATAATTTTACCAAAGTTTGAAGGTGACGAAATTTGGAGGAGCGCGGTCCTATGATTGTTTAAGATGGCAAACCTCATCCAACAAAAATGACCCCGGTTGTAGTACAAATTCGCGAGGGTGCAGGGTTATGCTATCGGCATGTACCTCGCCTTGCTCTACAACAGGCACTAGTGTCCGGTACGCCTCGAAGCAGGGTACCTTGGAGATGAACAAGGCACCGCTCTCTCTCTCTCTTTTTCGACCGCTCTCTCTCTCTCTCTTTTTCGAGCGGTGCAAAAGCGCCAGCGCTCTCTCCCTCTCCTTCCTCTCACTCTCTCTCTATTTTTCGAGCTCAATTTGTGAGCAACAGCGCCCGCGCTCGCGCTTTCTCCCTCTTCTTCCTCTACTGTCTGCGTGCGAAAGAGCTGCGAGCACAACACTAACATCAACAGCAGTACAAGAAGCCGCAAGACGAGAAGAAAAAAGTACGGTCTCTCTCTCTTGCTCTATATTTATCTCTCTGATAAATCAATGAAGAAGAGGAGGGGTTTCTTCTGCATAATAACAATTATCTATGTTTTAAGAAAACCCTAATTATTACCCTATTCTCCTCGTCCTCCTCCATGGTCTCAATTTTGGTTTATCTGAAATTATTATTATTATTATTCATAGTCCTTTGTCTCTCTCTCTTTTTGTGCCGTGCGTGCCATGAGAGATTGATTTCTCATGTCGCCATTCTACTCTCAGATATTGATTCCTCATCTCTCCATACTTTGGGAATGTGCATTTCTCTCGTAGGGAAGGTGAAGGAAAGATGCCCCTTTCTTCAAGAGACATGCATACACGTATGCAGTTAATTAACCATTTTCCTCCTCATATGATTTCACTTATCTGTCTTATGCATAATACGCATTTCGTGAGCTATATGAAATTCCTTAAAAATTTGGTTCATTCTATTCCTTTTGAATATAATAAGCCGAGATGCACAATGCCCATTGTTATGCATTCCATGGAATATTCATATGCACCTGTTCTTTTTGTAGTAGTTACAAAAATATGCATTGATACAAATATTAATTCATATTCATAGGTCCTGAACAAACAAGTTTTGTTGCTGGAAATGCCTGGGTCTATGCTTTACTCACAGATCCGTGCAGATTTTATCTATCTGTCTTGTGAAAATTGGGGAAATAAAGATACCCAACACCTTGTCTATCAATTTCCGCACTCCACATACAAATAGAACAACCTATACATGTACACAATGCAAGTGGCTAAGTTACACCTCAAGGGTAAACTAGTAACAACAATAAATGCAATAACAAATAAGAGTTCTAAAATTGCCCCTCAAGCCAGTCATGCATCTTGTGCATCCAGAGCTTATCTGTCCAAGATGCTCTGTTTCATCAATCTGCTTTGGTGGTTATGTTTGCAATCTGATGTGGTTAAGGAATGAATATCATAGGAATATCTTTTTATATTACACTTTGATGAAATGATAATCAATTTCTATACATTTCATGTGGATACGGAAGATAGGATTCACAACTAGCCGGGTAATTTGCTGCCACAACAGTCATCACACGATATTATGACTCGTTTCTTGATTTGAAATTGATGGCTGCTTCTTAATACACCGAGAAATTAGTATGCCATCCTAGAAGATGCAAATTCCGTTATAAAACAACAATAATTAGGACAACCCAATGAATCTTCATCAGATTATGCTCTAAAATCAAGAGAAATAGAGGGAGGATAGAATAATCCATGTATTTTTATATATATAAATGCAAATTGTTTTAGTAGCTTCGAAATGATATCGAGGAGATTCCATGAATGGACAAACTGCTTTCATTGCATAAGCAATGTCAGGCCATGTAAATGTAAGGTATTGGAAGCTCTTATAAAGAAAAAGATTGGATAGTAAATCCCTTATTCACTCCTTAACTCAATGTTAATTGGATAGTGCAGCCCATTATTCACTCCTTAACTTTCTATTAACTTCAACAGTGTAGAAACATGTTTGAACTCCAACGTCTTAGCATTAGAGAGTAAGTCAGTAATATATTCTTGTGTTGAGTAAGAACAATTCATTTTTCTGTTTGAAAATTTTTAATGCGCAATAAGTATTTTAATTCTCCAAGATCTTTCATTTCAGTTTCTCATTTCAAGACTTTCTTAAGATGCCCAATGTCAGTAATATCATTTCCAGTAATGATGATATCATCCACATATATCAAGAGGAGAATGATATCAGTGGGAGATCCCTTCAGGAACGAGTATAGTCCACCTTGCTCTTGCTCCTTTAGACATCAATGTTATTGAGTGAAGAACTAAAACTTCGCAAACCACATACATGAGCTTACATGGGCCCATAAATAGATTAGTTTAGTTTGTCTACATAATGGAGATGAGAAGGAATTCTCAGAGAAATGTAGGTGAGAAGGATTCCTGAGTTCTCTAGGTTGCTAAATGTATACTTGCTCCTTTAGATCACAGTGAAGAAATGCATTTTTCACATCAAGCTGGTGGAATCTTCTATTAATAGAAGCAACTATCAAGATGCATTGAATAGTGGGTGCCTTGATAAGCGGACTAAAGGTTACATTATGGTCAAGACAATATTCTTGATTGAACCCCTGATTGCTGCCTTCACTTTAATCTTTCACATGAATTGACTAATTTGACTCCGACTTTATGCACCCACTTTTACCACATGGCAACACTTATATGATTCTTCTTAATCTTAAGTGCGTCAATCTCCTATTTCATGGATGCTAACCATCTAATATCAAAGGCAGCTTCTTCATAGGAGGTCGTTTCTTGAACTTAAGAAATCTATGTTACATACACTTTATGATTAAATGGAAACTTATCATATGAGATAAAGCTTTCTAGGGATTAGTTGGATCTTGCTTTCTCCAAGTAAATATTTGAAGTGGGAATATCTATAGACTGGGTAGATAACATGAAAGGCATATAGGAGGATGAGTACTGCAAAAAGAATGACGCAATGGTGTACTTGAGGTCTAGGAGAATTGCATCAATGAGAGTTCTTTGAGAAGGTTGGTATAGTTGCGGGAGATGCATTTAAGCTTGGCAAAGTGGATAGATAATGTGGTGATGGGTGGTGAGGTGATGATGGGTGGTGAGGTGATGATGGGTGATTGTCATATCTCTTGAGGTGAAAGGCTGTAGATCATACCTGTCACAGCTGTGGAGGTGATTGGTGAGTGTTGGGATGGCTCAAATACAACTCCATGAGAAAAATGAGTTTGAGAATGTGCTTTTTGTTGCAAATAAATAGACATTGATAAGACATTTCTCCTTGAATTGTAGCTATTGAGTTTGATGTTTGGTAAGGTTCCTTAAAATAAAACATGGTTTCATTTTCATCAAAGGTACATGCTAAGTGAGAAAGAAACTATGTCATACTTTGCAGTTAACATATTCAAAAAAGAAGAAGGAAACTATGTGATACTTTGTCATCGTATCGATAATAGTGTTTGCCAACTCTAGCAAGTCCACCTGCCAACTCCAAAATACCCCAACTCAGGGGGTTTATATAATTGTTTTATAATATATTATAATTGATTTAATCTTCGACTAAAACAATTATAAGTGGCATCTAATTAATTTTGCATATACTTTTCATCTTTTTTATTTCTTATATTTTTTCTATTTTTTTATCATTTATCAATTTTTTATTTCTTTTTTATCAATTTTTTATTTTATCATCTCATATACTTTCTACGTTTATCATTTTTGTGTTTTTTCTAATTTTTACTTATTTTCGGGATTTTCCTAGTTCCTTTTGGTTTTTATGCTCTTTGGGCTTGAGTGAGATGACTTAGACTTGCCGAAGTCAATTGGATAGCCCAAGGCCGAAATTCTGCATCCGAGCTTTGTTTTCGAAGACTGATCTATTATGTCAACAAAACCACATCCAATGTTCAAAAATTTGGTTGCTTAGTCGACCGGGTAAAAAAAAAGAGGTATATGGGCCTAAGTGGGCACCTAGGGAGATGTTCTTAGGCGCCCTGCCTAGTGCCACCCCCTTTAAATAAAAAAATAAAAAAATACCTTTAAAGTAAAAGGTTAAGGCCTATTTAAGGGCCTCCTCTCTCTCTCTCCCACTCTTGGGCCCATATTCTCTCTCTGTATATAAGAAGAAATAGAATATGGCCTCCAAGTGTTCGATGCGAGGTTTCAGGCCTCTCTCTCTCTCTCTCTCTCTCTCACACACACACACACACACACAGACACACATAGAGAAATACATACATGGACCCATATGCTCTCTCTTTACATGTAAGAATAGGAAAAAGAAGAAGATAGCCTCCAAGTGTTCGATGTGCGGTCCCTCTCTCTCTCTTGACATTTTAGAAGAAAAAGAAAAACTTTCTCCAAGTGTTCAAGACTTCTCTCTCACAAACACGGATCCATATGCTCTCTCTTACTCTTATGTAAAAGATAAAAAAAGGACAAAAGTATTTCATGCGAGACCTCACACATGCATGCATGCATGCACATACACACGCACTACACACCTACAGACATACAACATATAGCACCCCACCCGTACATTGCCAAGGTATCTAGGCATCCCTAGGTGGCTGCCTCTGCCTTTTTGAACATTGACCACATTCATGAGCATTGGGTGAAAATATGTTTCTTTGAGAAGTACTAACATGTAGGAAACAAACACAACAAAAAAATGTAGGAAACAAACACAACAAAAAAGCACGGAGGGAGGAGTAATTGGTTTTAGTGTTTTACCATTAAAAAGTTTTCAAAAAGGAGATATGAAAGAGTAATAGTTGATAATCCATTGATAGGATACACAATAGCAAAAAGCTTCTTTTCTTTTAAGAAGAACTGGTATTCTTTTTTCTATTTATTGTTAGAAAATATAACCCACAAGATGTGGGGTTAATCAGTTGTCCCCCACGTCGGGTGTTCAAAGTACAGGTCTATAAATTAACTCCAAAAAAGGAATTGGCTTTTCCAAAAAAGAATGTGGCTTAGATGTAAAAATTGGATCCCATGGCCTTTTGTTAATTCAACATTGGTTCTGCCATCTAGTGTGCCTATTTATTAATGCAAATGATGGAGGGCATTGAGTAAGGATCCTTTATTTCTAATTAAGACCATGACTTGATTTATTTCTTTTAATTTTGGTTTATCAATAAATTCAAACTTGACTTTATGACCTTGAATCTCAGATTCTATTCTTGAAGAGTCTAAAGATTTTATGGGATAAAGAAGACTCAGGAAAGGGGTTCCTAAAATTATTTCCTGAGCTAGACCCTTTACCATAATAAATGACATTAAGAAGCAGGCTCCGTTGTTACAAACAGCGGCTTCACAAAGTTTGTAATTGATTAAAAGTCTTTTACCATTAGCAGTATTTAAGACTTGGGTTGTATTGTCAAAGAATCTTGACGGAACAAGTCCTTCATTGATACAATCGAGATGAGCACCTAAATCAATAAGGGCAATGGGAGAAAAATTGTATTCTTTAGAGACAACAATTGTAACCTTGGTATGCTATTTTTGAGTAATAACTTTATTTGTCATGTTAATCTAATTTAGTTGATTAAGATCTATTTTTTCAATTGCATTAACAACCTCTTCTTCAACCTGAGTTTGTATATTTTCAAATTCATTAATTAGATTCTCAAGTGATTGTGGTTTTTCTAAACCAAAAGTTTCAAGTATAGTTATTCGTTTATTGAGATCTTGTAATTCTTCTTTTAAATTTCTTATTTCAAATCTTAATTTAGAAATAGTAGTTTCGCGTTCAGAGAGTACTTGTTTTTTATTGACTCTATCAATTATTTGT